TCTCTCTCTCTCTCTCTCTCTCTCTCTCTCTCTCTCTCTCTCTCTCTCGTGTGAATATGTGTGTGTCCCTTCGCCACGTGGGTCTCTCGCTCTTTCACGCCCAGAGTACGTAAGAAACCACCTGCTCTCTCGCTCGTTCAGGACCCACAGAGAGAGAGAGAGAGAGAGAGAGAGAGGAGGGGGGGGGAGGGGAGATGACAGTGTAGTCTAACTGGTAGAGCTACGAGCCATGGGGGAAGCCACGGAAGACGAAGCCGTTGCAGCAAATGACGGATACTCCAGCTCAACAATTAGATAGGGCAATCACAGCGCAACGAACAGGTACAAGTCAGAGGTGTGAGAAAAAAAACCGTGTGTCCTTCAGCCATAGCAAAACGTTCAGTAAGCACAGCATGTGTTCCAAAAAAAGAAGGTGATACTAAAGTCAGCTTACTAAATAAGCACAGCATACGAACCAAGAATTTCAAGAAAGGATCGTCAAACTCTCGAGGAGAAGTGGGGCAAGCCCAGACGAAAAGGATACTAAAGGAGAACAATCAGCAGCAGCAGCAGAAGAAGAAGAAGAACGAAAAAGAAGAAGAAGAACGAGGAGGAGGAGGAGGAGGAGGAGGAGGAGGAAGTAGAGAGGGGAGAAAAAAACAGATGGGGACAAAAAAGGATGTTGCCGCTCCTTCAGATGTAGCACTTTTTGTTTTTTTTTTCATCTGAAAAAAAACAGAAAGAGGGTGGCCCCACCCAGCTTACTCAAGAATTCTTCTTCTTATACCATCTCGATTCGAGCTTACGTCTGTTTATCTGCATTGCATGGGTGTACAAGGCACAGCCACATGGCTGGGTGATCTAGACTTTCGCACAGAATCTGGCCATACTTATCGTCAGATACATCCGGTCTCGGCCACAATTCTGGCCAGATATATCCAGGAAAGCCTCGTAGTGTGAGTGTGCCCTCCCAGCTCTAGAAACCCATTGATCAAAAAAGAGAAAAAGAGAGAGAGAGAGAGAGAGAGAGAGAGAGAGAGAGAGAGAGAGAGAGAGAGAGAGAGAGAGAGAGTTCACCCTCAGACCATTTCCAGCACTAGAAACCGAATAAACCGAATCGAGCAATCGATCGATCGATCGATCGATATCTATATATATATCGTCACAAGCATATCAGAGCTATATAGATAGATAGATAGATAGATAGATAGATAGATAGATAGATACAGAGACACAGAGAGAGAGAGAGAGAGAGAGAGAAAGAGAGAGAGAGAGAGAGAGAGAGAGAGAGAGAGAGAGAGAGAGAGAGAGAGAGAGAGAGAGAGGTTTTAGGCAATGACGATTTTTTTTGGTAGTGAAGTGCAAGTCATTCTTGAGAAGGCCGGAGGTTTTGGGAATTGGAGATCGATAGTATATCTGTGGGGGCAGCGATCTGAATTTCTGTACTTGGGGCCGGCCATTACGTACCACTGCCACGTCAGCTTAACAGGTTCGCATTCCTTTGCCCCGGGGGAACATGCGACTGCCACGTCAGCATAACTTGTTGTCTTCCTTGTCTTCCTTAACAGTTGCGACTTCGTTTTCTCGATCGACTATCTTCAAGACGAGGAAGACCGTGCTATTGCCACGCTAGCATAATGTGCTATTGATTGCCACGCTAGCCTAATGTGCTATTGATTGCCACGTTGGCACGCTAGCCTAATGTGCTATTGATTGCCACGTTGGCACGCTAGCCTAATGTGCTAATGATTGCCACGTTGGCAAGCTAGCCTAATGTGCTATTGATTGCCTTGCCACGTTAGCAGCCTAGTGCTGTCTACCATCAGTTGCTATTGCATAGCAATAGGCGAGAAGTAAAAGCACGGTGAGGTGTGAAGCTTACTCGTGCTAATGACGATTTGGCTGTAGTACGGACTGACGCTGGATCATCATTTCCGACGGCTGCGATCAGATCTTGCCAGTGCTGACCGTGCTGCGGTGACCTGGCCCTGTGGCTCTGCAAGTGTAAGAGGGAAATTGATGGTGCAGGACACTGTTGAGTGCATAGCAAGAGTAGCAGGAGCGGCACGAGGACGAGGGAGAGGAGAAGGAGGAGGAGGAGGGGGAGGAGGGGGAGGGGGGGGAGGAGGAGGGGGGAGGAGCAGCAGCAGCTGGAGAACGGGGGAGGGATGGGGGAGTGCAGAGTCGATGGCAGGAGTACCGGCGGAAGGGCAGGGAGAACGCAGAGTCGACGGCAGCAGTAGCAGCAGCAGGAGCAGCAGCAGGAGCAGCAGCATGAGGAGGAGGAGGAGGAGGGAGAGCAGGAGGAGGGAGGAGGGAGGAGGGAGGAGGAGGAGCAGCGGGCGGATGCCGGAGGGCAGGGAGAATGCAGAGTCGACGGCAGCAGGAGCAGCAGCAGCAGCATGAGGAGGAGGAGGAGGAGGAGGAGGTAGAGAGCAGGACAATGCTGAGTCCCTCGCGAGACTATCAGGAGGGAGAGGAGGAGGAGGAGGAGGAGGAGAAGGAGGAGGAGGAGGGGGGCATGGAGAGCAGGAGACTGCAGAGTTGATGCAACAGTACCCCCGGGAGCAGGAAGGAGAGGGGGGGGGATGAGGGGGAGAAAGACGAAGAGGAAGAGGAAGTGAAGGGGCAAAGCTTGAGTTCAGGCGATAACATTGCCACACTGGTGGGCCGGGACATATTGCAAAGTTGGGCAATCCGGTAGAGGGGCAAACGGGGTCGCAAACGCTGCGTGCCCGGCCTTCTCGGCATATAGGGGTAGATAGGGGTATGTAGGGGTAGGTTTGCACACCTGGTCGAGCGAGAGGAGCAGAAACACAGACAGAAGAAACACAGAAGCACAAGCTAGGGGGAGGACACGAATTTATACACCCGCCTGATAGAGAGGAAGAACACAAAAGTGACTACCGCGAATTTACACAGCCGCCTGATAGAGAGGTAGAACACAAAAGTGAAAGTGCAAAAGGGCATTTCGGCTATACTCATAACTTTTAGGGGTATTCTCTAGCGTCTCTGTCGTCATTTAGGGGCAAAACCCGAAGTTCCCAACCTAAGACGTTATTTTGACAGTTTTCTAAGGATCTATAAAAACACTGAAAACAGCCAACGCGCCTATCTCAGTTAGTTGGTTGGTACACCAATGAACTGTTGAAATGTAGACCAACGTTCGAATCCAGAAGCGACCAGACGTCCAAAATGAAACCAACCCTACCCCTAACCCCACCCCTACCCCTACCCGTACCCGTACTCCTACCCGTACGCGTGGCTAAGTCCCACTAGCAACGTTGAGTTTCCTCAACGCGCGAATCTGCACTTGCTTGTGAGGAGATGTGCAGGATTCGCGTTGATCTTCGTAAACCCCACATCTCCAGAAACACATCCAGATTCGGGCGTTGAGGAACTCAACGTGCCTACCTTCTTCCCCCGAATACAACGTACGGTCGTTATAGCTGTATCTAGACTGAAAGATTCGTCAAATACAGCTATAATGACCGTACGTTGTATTCGGGGGAAGAAGGTAGTGGGACTTTTTCTTTTTTTTTCTCTTTTTTTTGCTTTCTCCAGAAACCTCTCCAGAAACACGTCCAGATTCGGGCCTGTCAGTTCGATTCGATGATATCTCGAGGTCGTTGCTTTCTATAAATTAATTAATATAAAAAAAGGGGAAAAAACACTGAAAACGGTTGTTTTCCTCTTCTCTTCTTTTTTTTTTTTGTTGAAATTATCAATTTTTTATTAACAGGGCCCAGTGCCCAAGGCGAAGCACATCAGCACAGAATGACCATCAAGGACTGCCAGGTTGCCCCACCCCACCGGGAGCTGGGAGCCCCGTCCCTGTAAACACTTTCTTCGCACCTTCTCTCAACTTCCCTTCACACTACCTACCTACCACTACTACCTTCTTCACCCGAATAGAACACCCGGTCATTATAGCCGTATTTGGTCGAAATTTACGTCTAGATGCAGTGATAAGGCGGTAATTGTTGTTTTCCTCTTCTCTTTGCTTGCACGGCGGCACGCTCATGCAAGCCCAAGATGTACTGGAGCATGGTCCCACTAGCAACGGGGATTGGATTGAGATCCTGAATCTGGGCGTGTTTTAGGCAGTGATGCAGAAAAGGAGTTCAATCTCGATTTTCTGCACTTGTCCACAAACGAAGCCAGGTTCAGGCGTTCAATCCAATCCTCTTTGCTTGTGGGACCTCGCCCCTGTTGCAAGTAGGTGGATAAATTGCGTTGCTCCACAACTCCCCTCACCGAATGTGCAAAATGAGAATGAATCTTCCGCCAGAACATGGAACTGTACATCGTCACCATATTTTTTTTGTCTTTTGTGCATGTGCTGAGCATGTGGTGAGTAGTGGACCGACGCCCTAAGGCGGGTTCCACGTTCTATGACGGACACCCACAAGGGCCATAGGATTAAGGAAAAAGGGGGTGCCAGTTTTTTTTTTTTTTTTTTTTTTTTCTTAAGCCAAGATCGAAAAAAAAATAAAAAATAAAAACATTTTTAAAAAATCGAAAAGAGGCCGGACGCTAAGTTCCACTGGCGGGGCTTTAGACTTGGTTTCGAGTACGCACCCTTCCGATCAAACATCGCACGGCCGCGCTGGGGGTACGTTGAAAAATACTCGAGAGGAAGACTAAACTCCCACTGGTAGTGGGACTTAGCCCCGGGAATTCCTCAACATACAACCCGGGAAGGTGCCAGATTTTTAATTTTTTTTTTTTTTTTTTAATTTGGACCATTTCTTGATTTTATCCTTGCGCAGGGGCCATGCTAATCTTCTCTGTATCGTTCCAATTTTAACGAATGTCCCGAAGGATGAAGGTGCCAGAATTTCAGATGGCCCCAGTTCTGTGGGTTGAGATGTGGAGGCATTCCCAGCCTCCCAAAAAAAAAAAAAAAAAAAGGCAAGACTGAATGGATGGGTCCAGACAGAAGATAGCTTGATTGGAAGAAAGATGAGGTGGAGAGAGACAGACAGACAGACAGACACACACACACACACACACACACACACAGAGAGAGAGAGAGAGAGAGAGAGAGAGAGAGAGTGGAGACAAAATGAAAATCATTACATGAACTGATGATATGCAAAGAAATGGATAAGTCTCAGACAGAAAATAGCTTCAGTGATTGGAGGACAGATGAGGTGGAGAGATTGGGGACCTGAGTTCGAACCCCGATCCCAGTCCCAGAAGGATAAAATTACTTCTACCTGGGCCCTGGTCTGTTGGATGGATGGATGATAGCTCAAGACGGTCCCGGCTTTCAACGGCCGCTAACTCTGAGCCTCTCTTTCCTCTTTCCTCTTTCCAGAGGCGGACTTGTGCTGGGTGCCAATTTTTTTCTTTCAAGGGGGGTTCTTTTCTTTTTTTTTCTAGGTAGCCCCCCTGTCAACCGCCACTACCTCCAAGCCTCTCTTTTTCCTTGTGCTGCGCGCCAATATCAAAACGTTTTTTGTTCCTTTTTGGCTGGCGTCCCCATCCAAACTGGAGCCCCTGACGAAGGTGGTTGTTAACCGAATTGCCCCCCAAAGTTTGTGGTGATTTAGAAACAATAACACTTAAAAACAACGAAGGCGAATTTTGCATTTTTTTCCCTAACAGAGGACGTACATTCTAACATACCCTTCTCATTACTGCCTTGTTGGACCCACCATCTTTTCCACACACCCCTACCAGGTATGGGTTCAAGTTTGTGGAATACCCCCCACTAGTAGCGCTAGTACTTGCAAACTCTTTGATGTCCACTCTTTGATGTCCCAATTGATTTTCGATATACCCCTACCACCCTTGGTTGGTCAAGGTAATTAAACTACCTGTACCTCCACGTCTCAAGGCCGTTAAACCACCAGTACTTGGCCCAGCTATCGGCCGCGGAAAAAAATAGAGTAGAAACGTTTCTAGTTGGATGAATTTGGGCACTCCTGTAGTGGCCCGTACGTTTTCGAAAATCGCGTAGTGTTAACGCTACGCGGCTTTAGGAAGTACTGGTGGTTTAACGCGGTGGCTGAATCGCGGCGGGGGTCCATATGCATTTGCATATTTCCATCCCTTTACTTGCCGATCTGATTTGCAAGTTCCAAGCGGTGAATGCTAGCTGCGCCAATTAGGGCCACCACTATCACAACTGAGTCGGCCCCGAGAACCAACAACTCCCTTTTGCTTTTCATATGTTTTGACGCGGTTTGTGTTTTGTCCTCTTTTGCTATTCGACAAATTGACAGTGCTTTTGGCCTTTGTTTCAATTGAGCGGTGTCAAATAGCAGTAATTCAAGAGAGTGGAGTGGAGTGGAGTGGAGTAGAGTGGCTGTTATGGACTGGTGGTGCCCTGTTTGTTTTTCGTTCTTTCTAATGCCATTTCGTGGCTGGTCGCAGCATAGAGAATGGCAGGTCAGATCGGAGGACATAAGAGGCTGCAAATGGTCGTCAATACGTCTTTCTCAGTTTTGGTTAGCTTGGCTTGGTAATTAGGGGCTGGGTGATCATTATAAACGGTAGGATGGTACTCAGTTTTTTTTGTAGTCTTGAGTTGATAGCTATTGTGTGGTTGGTGTAGGTATAGATAGTTATGTTGGAATTGCTCTTAGACTGGTTTCACAATGTAGGGCTTGAGAGCGTTTTGGTAATGTTTGGATGGTAATTAGATTGTTGTAGTATTGAGATAACTGTTTTGTGGTGTATAGCTGGGCGGAGCGCTACCGGGAGCGCTCTGCGGTAGCGCTCCGCCGCCCGACATTTTGACGCGATGGCAGGCTCCTTGGTGAGGGTTGGAAACGAAGAGCGGTTGGGGCGCACGCGAGGACAAGAGTGCGGGGTGAGAGGTCAGCAGGCGGATGATGAGGCGGGAGAGGGATCAAGGGGCATGGAGGAGCAGGCTAGTGGTGTCCGGGCGTTGCTGCAGGCTCTACTGTTTGTTGTTTCTGTTATGTGCTCACTTGCTTGAGTGAACGAACACGGGGGCAGCGTATCTCATATCAAGGTCTCGTTGGAGAGGAGGAATGCCGCAGGGGGGAGTAAGGGGAGGCAGGCAGGGTTTCATGGGCTAGAGGAAGAGTATTACAAGAAGGAATGGGAGGAGGAATGTGGGAGTAAGGCTTCTATAGGCGGGCGACATCTGCGACGATGACACCCCTTCATCTTTTTCGGCTACATGCGAGGGGCGGCTGGCAGGCTCAGCGGTTTAGTCTCGTGACATGGTTTGGAGTGCTGTGATGGTAATCCTAGCTACAGTCCTGTTATCTTCATCGTTCGGTCCTTTTGTAGCAGTGATTTTGTGATGACCTTGATGAGATTCTTAACAATGTGATTCTCAGATAGTTTTGTCTGGTTCAATACCTATTAGTCCCTCCAACCTTGAATTCTAGATATGTAACGAAAATATAACTAATAACTCTGATTTATTTATTTAATTTCTTTTTTAGGACAATTTGCTCCAATCTATTCGTGGGGAGCAGCA